ATCTATAACTAGCCTTCACGGCAGGGTGCACATTGGGAAGGCTTACAACAATACTGGCATTTTCCCTTTTTAACGTGAATATAAAATAGTGGTCAACCACTAATGGTCTCTCTCCTAATGGCCCAATTCCTAGGAACCATGTGCAGGCACTGCAACATGATTGAGCCCATCAGCTACAAATTTCAATGGTGTCTTCAACCATCTCACTCCACCCATGTACATGTGAAACTAACCCTTGAAAAACTGCTCCATGTCCTCTTCCTCCTCACCACTGGCCATTCTCCTCCTTGTGCTGCCTCACAAGGACATAATAAGAATAAAGCAGGCTATGAGAAAGCATGAAGTCCTCCTCTTCCTCCTGCTGTTGTGCCTCCAGTGCCAGGACTATTACATCATGCAAAGTTTGCTACAGCAGCGAGCAAACTGATACTTGCCTCATCACAGCTTATAAATTTGGTGACCCTTTTCAACAGTGACAAATGGTACACACATCCTGAATGAGCCACTGATGTGGGGATTATAATCCTGCCTGGTGTCACCATATGCAAATGTGGCCTAGTTAAAGCTGTTTACATAGTGTGCATGGAGTCAGTACAATATCTATGCTTTTTTTTATTGAGAAATAATACACTCTAATTTGGATTTCTTGATTATATGCCTGCATAGTTTTACCCTGGAAAATGCATTCTAGTAAAAGCTGTTTACACTGTGTTCATGGAGTCAGTACACTATTTAGGCCCCTTTTCTGTGAAATTAAACTCTTTAGTTTTGATGTCTTGAATAATAAGCTGAACGGTGTCTCCCTTTGAAACTGCTGCCTAAAAAAAGCTGCTTACATATATATATAGATATATATATATAGATATATATATATATCTATATATATATATACACACACATACATACACTGCTCAAATAAATGAAAGGAACACGTTTTAATCAGAGTACAGCAGCAAGTCAATGAAATTCCTGGGATATTGATCAGGTCAGTTAAGTAGCAGAGGGGGTTGTTAATCAGTTTCAGCTGCTTTGGTGTTAATGAAATTAACAACAGGTGCACTAGATGGGCAACAATGAGACAACCTTCAAAACAGGAATGGTTTTACAGGAGGAGGCCACTGACATTGTTTTCCCTACTCATCTTTTATGACTGTTTTTTTTACTAGTTTTGCATTTGGCTAGAGTCAGTGTCACTACTGGTAGCATGAGGCGATACCTGGACCCTATAGAGGTTGCACAGGCATGCCAACTCCTCCAGGATGGCACATCAATACGTGCCATTGCCAGAATGTTTGCTGTGTCTCCCAGTCCCAAGAGCATGGAGGAGCTTCCAGGACACGGGCAGATACTCTAGGAGAGCTGGACAGGGCCGTAGAAGGTCCTTAACCCATCAGCAGTACCGGTATCTGCTCCTTTGTGCAAGGAGGAACAGGATGAGCACTGCCAGAGCCCTACAAAATGACCTCCAGCAGGCCACTGGTGTGAATGTCTCTGACCAAACAATCAGAAACAGACTTCATGAGGGTGGCCTGTGGGCTTGACGTCCTCTAGTGGGCCCTGTGCTCACTGCCCGGCATTGTGGAGGCCGATTGGCATTTGCCATTGAATACCAGAATTGGCAGGACCGCCACTGGCGCCCTGTGCTTTTCACGGATGAGATCAGCTTCATCCTGAGCACGTGACAGACGTGGAAGGATCTGGAGAAGCCGTGGAGAACGTTATGCTGCCTGTAACATTATTCAGCATGACTGGTTTGGTGGTGGGTCAGTGATGGTCTGGGGAGGCATATCCATGGAGGGACGCACAGACCTCTACAGTCTAGACAATGGCACCCTGACTGCCATTAGGTATGGGGATGTAATCCTTGGACCCATTGTCAGACCCTATGCTGGTGCAGTGGGTCCTGGGTTCCTTCTGGTGCACGACAATGCCTGGCCTCATGTGGCGAGAGTATGCAGCCAGTTTCTTGAGGATGAAGGAATTGATACCGTTGAATGGCCCCCACGCTCGCCTAACCTGAATCCAATAGAACACCTCTGGAACATTATGTCTCGGTCCATCCGACGCCGCCTGGTTGCACCTCAGTCTGTTCATGAGCTCAGTGATGCCCTGGTCCAGATCTGGGAGGAGATACTCCAGGACACCATCAGTCGTCTAATTAGGAGCATGCCCAGACGTTGACAGGCATCCATACAGGCACGTGGGGGCCATACAAACTAATGAGTACCATTTTGAGTTGCTGCAATTAAATTTCAGCACAATGGACTAGCCTGCTGCATCATTTGTTCACTTTGATTTTTGGGGTGTCTTTGAATTCAGCCCTCTGTAGGTTGATCATTTTTCATTTCCATCAAACGATGAGTCATCCTTTCGTTCCTAACACATTACCCAGTCCAGTATACAGTAGATATCCAGCATGATGTTTTTCCCCATTGAGATGTGATGTATTTTCAAAGTGTTCCTTAAATTTTTTTTAGTAGTTTATATATATGTACAGTAAAAGCTAAACAGAAGTCATAGATCTTCATTATTTATAATACAGATTTCTTGGACTTGACCTTCCTTTTATGGCTTCTTAACAATAATATGCATACAGATCATTTACAGTAGACAAATCTTTCAGTGGTTTGTCTGGTATATGATTTTATAAGGACAGATGATTTCCTGAAGGCCAAAAATGCTCTTAGATGGTTTGTCGAAGTAAGATAGTTTTATATACAGGGTGGGTCATAATGCCTCCTAATCACAGCAGAGATCAGCAACTAATTAGAAATTATTTGGCTGAGGCTGTTGCCAATAAAGGAGCTTGCACTAGTTATTAAAGGGGGGCACTGTACCAATAAAAAGTCAGCAGGGGACAAAGAACTAGTTACCAGCATTGCCTGTGGACTCCCTGCAGCTTATGTTTTTTCCATTACTGATTGATCATGGTTTGTTCTGCACTGTGTATCTATGTGGAGGCAGCCATCTTGTTACAGACAGGGTTTTGCATTCATGCAGACATAAAAGATTCAGCAAAAGTATTTAGTAATACACCATTTTAAATTTATTTTTTCATGCAAACAGTGCAAATACCAGAATTGGCACTGGTGTTAGCCTCTTGCAATTTCCTATACAGCAGAGCTCAGTCTGGAAGAGAAAGAAGCAGCACAAAAAGACAGTCAGTTGTGCTGCAGTGCTCATGTGCTGACAAGGAAAGTGCTGATAGGAGGAGAGAGCAGAGCGACAAAAAGACAATCTGCTACTGCTTCATCATCACTGTCCAGTCACAGGCTGGGGTGTAGAAAGGAGACCTGTAGGTATTACTGAACTGCATTAGCGAAAAATCAGGTCTAATGCATTGCCAGACACAGCTGTGTAATTATGTTTAATATATTTAATCTGTGCATTTAGCAGTTCAGCTTACATATATAGGATTAAATACTTTTTCAGTCAAGGGTTGGTATGACTTTAACCATTTGTTTAGTAAATGTATCATAATTTAAAATTATGTGAGTATTTTTTATTTTATTTCTCTGTGTTTATTATTAAGTAACCATAATTAATGCATGAATCATTGGAAATTTACTGTTACGTCCCACATATCTAAAAAAATAATGTGTGTGCAGTAAATTCAGCTGAACTGTGCAGTAATGGATTTAGTGAATTGAAAAATCCGTTTATTCTGGTCAGCCCCCTCCTTTCCCATTTATTTGTCAATTTTACATATTAACAGAAAGTACCAAAGCACAATGCATTAGTCATGTCTCTCTGCTGATCATAGGATTAAACATTGAAAAGTTTTATTTGTGTAACAATGCAGTGTTGTCAATTGTTCACTATTGATTAGTAACAATACTGGCTTCCAGTCTCACCACCATGACCTCAATGATCACTGACTGTCAAGTACAGTTTCATATAATACACCTATGTGCTATGTGTAACTCTTTGCTAATGCTCCTGTGTTCACTTGCTAGCATTCATTTCCAGCTTTGCCATTTATCTACTTTATGACACCAGTCATGAAGTGCATATATATCAGACAAAAGTAGTTAAAGGAGAACTATGAGGCGAGTGAAAATCACTCAACCTCAAAGTTCAAGCCGACGTGTGACAATGAAACTGTCACAGGTTGGCTCCATAGATTGGGAAGTGAGCGAACACATACCGTCGCTCGCTCACTTCTCGATCATCTCCCTGCAGAGAGCCTGTCACTCACGGCTCCCTGCAGGGATTCCCCCCTCCAATCCTCCAGTGCTGACTGGAGGAACGGACGGGCGAGGGGGCGGGTACAGCTGGCTCTGCCTCTAGATAGGCAGAGCCAGCTTTCACTCAGCCAGCTGGGTGGATCTCGACAGTAATGTTGGGATCCGTCCCGGCTGCGGCAGTCTCAGTATACCGCAAGGTGTAGCTGGCGATATACTGAGCTTTGAGTCACGGGAGGATGCTAGTTTATGTCCTCCCGTGACCCTTAAGCGAACTATGGGAAAAAACACTTACCCCATAGTTCTCTTTTAAGTAGAAATACTAACTGAGTGTGTTGAGATATAAGCCTTTACCATTAACACTTTTCCACATGTTTAGCTGTTAGAGAAGCTTTTGAGAGCTTTTGTTTTCAGAAAGAAAATGTACTGAGTTTTTTTTTTTCTGATATGACCCTTAGGCTGGGTTCACACCTAGGCGGATTGAATATGCACGTTTTTCGTGCGTTTTTTTACCGCGGTTCGCGGTAAAAAAAACTGCGCAAAAAACACACGTTTCCGAGGGATACTTGGCTGTATCCCAATGGAACCGCCCGACCAAAACGCCCCAAAGAAGTACATGTACTTCTTTGGGCATAGGGCGGTTTCCCGCACGTTCGTACTCGCGGAAAACCGCCCAGATGGGAACCATGCACATTGAAAATAATGGCATTTCCCTGTTTGAGCGTTTTTCCGCGAGTACGAAAGCGCGGAAAAACGCCTAGGTGTGAACCCAGCCTTAGTGTATCATTTGGCAATTAAAACTTTATGCTGTTTAAGACTTTTGTTTAATACATAGGAATGCACTTCTTGAATGTGATGGAAACATTAAAGTGACTACTATTATAAGGATATTCACACGCTCTTTTACTGAAGAATATGATAAGGATAATTTACAGGTAATGTTCTAATTTAAGTTTTTTTTCTTTCTTTTATCTGATGCTTCCTTACATGCTTACTGCTGTTGTCCTCCAATATTGTCATCCATTACTTCCCTCTGCAGTACCCAGACTCTGAAGAGATTGCACACCCAGAAAGTGATAGCAGTGGGCAACACCCACTTATAGCAGACAACAAAGAGATTGCATACCTACAGGGCACATGGACTTAGTCAGAAAACATGTAGAGAGAGCCTTTTAACCTGCAAAACTCTGTTTTTCAGGATGCTCCTGCAAAGCGGATCTGAGGAGTCTTATTTATCGGATATTACATTCGACTTGGAAAGAAAATATACTGATAACTCTCCATTCGCACAGGACAAACGCACATGCAGTTTTGCAGGATAAATGGGCCTGCAATTTAAATCACCTCTGTCCTTTAAATCAGGACATCCTGCAGCATGCGACATAAGTTTTATGAAATGTTAGGCTGCAGTATGACCCCCAACGCAGAAAATGGGTTTAAAAGCGTCGATCAACCTTAGCTGATCGACGCGCTGTAAAACGCCCAGCAAGTGAAATCCTATTATTTCCTATGGGCATGGTTCCCACCTTGGCGTTTTTCAGCGAGTAGGAACGCGCTGAAAAACGCCCTACGCCCAAAGAAGTACAGGAGCTTCTTTGGGGCGTATTTTCCGCGCGTATCCATTAGGATACAGCTGGATAGCCCTCGTAAACGCGCGTTTGTTGCGCGTTTCAATGACCGCAAATCATGGTAAAAACACGCATATTACGAACGCTCAAGTGTGAACCCAGCCTAAAGGAACATTTTAAGAGAGAAATACATAGCCTGCCAATACTGTCGCCTTCTGAAAATGATAGCGACCTGGCCATCACACTGGAAATTTGGCTTTACAGTAGCACTTCTGAGTTACTGAACTATAACAGGAGTTGGGACTTCTTTTGCCTCAAACATGTTCTATATTAGTACTCAGAAAGTATTGATGCCAGAGGATCAGTATGACAGTCAGACAAGTAGAATTTTATAAGGTGCTTAGCAGTAAAAGCCTATATTTTATGTCCATTAAACCTTCCCTTTAAAGTTGCCTTCTATCCTTTTTTTGTTGTTGAAGGCAAGCCATGGGCCACCTCAACCTTTTGCTTTTGTCACTGCCGTTTAGTACTTGTTAGGCTATGTTCAAAGGCCTTCTGCAGCTGAACTGGTAAGCCTGACAAACATCCATATTTTTGGTGAATCTATCTAGTTTACTAGATAATTTCTTACAGGAGTACAGTGACACTGAAAGTACTATGCTGCAGGTGGTAGCACTGCTGATATCTGAAAGATAAAATAACAAAAGCTAGACATGCATATTAATTCCTCAGGCGTAAAGTCATCCTTACTCCATATTCTGCTTGCTTTTACTTCACAGGAGCCTTTGACATATAAGCTAAAATATGTTCTGTTTCAAGTCAAACGTTGCCCCAAGCGACGTGTTTCTGTTGCTTAGGTTGCAGATGTCTGCTAGTATATTATTTGTTTCTAAGTCTGTTTGCGTGGCAGATGTGTAGAGATCCTTGTATGATAGATACTTGTAAAAAAAATATGTAATATAGTAAATGGATGACCGATCTGCTTATTGTATATGAAAGTATTGCTGCAAGAGAGCAAAAAAGCAGAAATGTATGTCTTTGTTATAGCTCTGACCTGGGGCACAGATTGGCCATATGGAAGGGAGCTGGCGTATTCGCAATAGTACACATCTCACCAGCTCCCCGGAGAGTAGAACGCCACCTGGCTAAGCTTAGGACAAATCATATAAAACTGGATAATTGTGTGGTCTGAGGTTTGTGTTTAGGCATATAATTATGATGAGGGGGACAAATTGATCCAACTGGACCTTGACTAATCAAAATTGCACTTGTCCCTTACAGTAAGTGCAGTTTTACCTGCAAATATTACTTTATGTTCCTAGCCTATAAAAAATACTTTATTCCAGGTTTACTGAGATGATAATGTATGTAATGTAGAAAAAGAACTTAGATAATATGCTGCAAAGAGGAAAAAAACATCATAACTATCTCTTCTATTTCTATCCTGGGAGATGAAGCTGATGTCCAGGCAAGTTTTTAATTACACAATTCAAATACATATATGCAAACTCTAATACCTTCCAAAGGATTTGTTATTTCTTTAAGCCAGTCTTGTGGTACCTCTGCCAGAAAGTACAGTCAGCATGTGGACCTCCACTGCTGTGTCACTGCAGCTTAGTTCAAAGAACACTCCTAGCCTAATATTAGAACAATGAAGGGACAGCAGCAAAATGATGCATCATGCTCTATTCTCCTATCATCATGTTCGCTGTCTGCTCAGATGTGGTGCAGCAGATCCTGATGATGGCCCTCTTTCTTGTCCTGTGGGGGATTACAGGAAGCCTGTACCAAAACACATTTAGATGTTTGTCCTAGTTGCATTTAAAATACACCCCATTTCTGCTTTTTTAATGTTTACACAGTAGCATTTTTTGTGTTTTTATGATTAATTGGTGCTTTTGATTTGTTTTGTTTTTATATATTTTCCTTGAATTGAGCTTTAATGAGTGAAGCACAAAATTGCATGTGTGGGAGTGTGTGTGATGCATGGGCGTCCATGAGAGAGCAAGTACTCTTGCATATTAATCTGACCTCGTCATTTATCCATGATACATACATAATAATATATCTCTCCACTGTTCTAGCCAAAGCTTCCACTAAGGGCTTATTTTCCCAGTGAAAGTCCTGCATTGGTGTTGGCATTATTAAGAAAGTATGAAGGTATGTTTTTTAGATTTCAAATGGCATAAAATATTTGGCAGAAGTTGGATGTGAAATCATTTTACATTCTTATCATGTATTCTTGGTTTATGAAATCGGTTGTGTGCATAACCTGTTCACTGGCTTCAGTGTCCAAAAGGGAGCACATATTTGCTTCTCCCCGCGGAAACCATTTCTCATCTCGTCTATCATGTGTTGCATTGTCATGTTAACAAGCTTTGCATGTAATGCTCTGATTCTCAAGGATATCCGATGCTTGTGCATCAGTATGCAACTCAATGTGCTCACATCTCATTTCAACATGTTATAGGATCTGAGGTCAGGCAAGAAAATAAATCTCTCTTCCCCTCACTATTCCCCTTGCTATATTCCAATTGACAGTGTTTGACTTTTCTGGGAATTTCCAAACTTTATCATGCTTTTAATTTCACTGCTCCACATCAAGGTAGACAGAAAACCTCCTCTATTTTACATATTTCCACATTAGGAATTCGGAAACACTATTTCAGTTACATGTTAGGTCAGTAATAAATATACTTAAAATATTATGCCCAGGGAGGTGCAACTCTGGTACTCTAACCCTGGCAAGAGTACATAATTCTCAGTTTTCTTGCTTACCCGCCAGAGGTCAAAACATGCACTGTTGGCAGGCTTAGGGGTCCAGAAGTAAGGAACAGTGGATGACCCCAGTGTGTCCCAAAAACAGTTCCCAGGGCCGCTCACATGAAAAGAACATACTTTAAGAATATATAAATCCCAAACCTTTTTTTTTGTTTTAGATTACTTTT